CCTCACAGGGCGTCTGGTGGGGAGGGGAAGGGAAAGGAGTTTGTAAGCCGCTCTGAGACTCCTTCGGGTAGTGAAGGGCAGGGTATAAATCCAATATCTTCTTCTTCTTCTTCTTTTACCTCACAGGGTGTCTGTTGTGGGGAGGGGAAGGGAAAGGAGTTTATAAGCCGCTTTGAGACTCCTTTGGGTAGTGAAGGGCAGTTCTTCTTTTACCTCACAGGGCGTCTGGTGGGGAGGGGAAGGGAAAGGAGTTTGTAAGCCGCTCTGAGACTCCTTCAGGTAGTGAAGGGCAGGGTATAAATACAATCTCTTCTTCTTCTTCTGTCAGAGCTGTTCTCTCAAGAGCAGCTTCTGTCAGGGCTCTCTCAGCCCCACCTACCTCACAGGGTGTCTGTTGTGGGGAGGGGAAGGGAAAGGAGATTGTCAGCCGCTCTGAGACACCTTTGGGTAGTGAAGGGCAGGGTATAAATCCAATCTCTTCTTCTTCTTCTGTCAGAGCTGTTCTCTCAAGAGCAGTTTCTGTCAAGAGCTCTCTCAGCCCCGCCTACCTCCCAGGGTGTCTGTTGTGGGGAGAGGAAGGGAAAGGAGTTTGTAAGACGCTCTGAGACTCCTTCGGGTAGTGAAGGGCGGGGTATAAATCCAATAGCTTCTTCTTCTTCTAGTTTTGCTATTATAGAGTTCATGATGGCTACCATCGGCTCTTTCTTCCCCGTGGCCGGCACAGGTCTTCTATAGGTGTCTTTCAGGTGTCCCTCCGGCGGCTGGCACAGTTGTTAATATAAGGTTCAGGGCAACAGGGCTTCTCTTCCTAGTTGTTAGAGGTGGCGGCGGCTCCAAAAGCCTGGCGGAAGAGCTCCGGTTTACAAGCCCTGCGAAACTGTAGTAGGTACCGCAGGGCCCAGATCTCCTCTGGGAGCTCATTCCATCAGGATGGAGCCGCCACCGAGAAAGCCCGTGCCCTGGTTGTCACCAGCCTGGCTTCCTTAAGACTTGGGAGGGCCAGTCGATTTTGAGCCCCTAAATGCGGTGTTCTCTGGGAGACATGCGGGGAAAGGTGGTCCCTCGGGTATGTAGGTCCCGGAGTCCTTCAGGGCCCGTGTGTCCTGGCTGCGAAGAACTTTAGAGGTCATAACCAGCCCTTTGAATTGAACTTGGAAACAAACTAGTAGCTGTTTCCAATGGGCAACATATGTTCCTGTTGGCTAACCCCTGCCGCATTCTCATCCAGCTGCCATTTCAAGGTAGTCTTCCAGGGCAGCTTCACGGAGGGTATGTTACCGTAGGTCAGCTGCAAGGTCATGAGATCATGGATTATTGTGGTTAGGTTGAACATCAGGACCAATAAAAAGGGCATGCTTAATTTTTCCAGAACTGAGCATTTTATTCTGCATGCTTTAGCAGATGATAATTTGTCCCCGACCTTTCTTGATGAAACACAAGTCCTTTGACATTTGAAAAAAAAAATCTCGGTTTTTTTTCTTTTCATTATTATTATTAATACGACAGGCAAGCTGCACTAACTTTTGTGCTTTCAAGTTTCTGGAGTTTGACGCGAGGTAAGTATCAGCCAGACTCGATAATCTTTGCTATCTTAAATGAAGTGTTCCAGTTTCAAACAGTTTAAATAGCTTCCTAACCGTGTCAAGATGAGACAGATGAAAGGTATTTTAAGGAAGGCATTTTAAGCTCTCAGTGGCCTTGGCGTAAGACCCCGTTAAGACCCTCTCTCCTTTTTCTCCCCCTCCTCATTTACAGCAGTGGTTTAGACAAGTCGTTTTGGAATTCAGTGGACCGATAAAAAATATCCAACCGCTGTTCAGTCATGACTTTCTTAACATGAAAAGCACTATATTGTTTTAAATATATTAGATCAGGAGTCCCCAGCGTGGAAGCCTGTGAGAAGAAGAGATTGGATTTATACCCCGCCCTTCACTCGGAGTCTCAGAGCGGCTTACAATCTCCTTTCCCTTCCCCTCCCCACACCACCCTGTGAGGTAGGTGGGGCTGAGAGAGCTCTGACAGAAACTGCTCTTGAGAGAACAGCTCTGACAGAAGAGATTGGATTTATACCCCGCCCTTCACTACCCAAAGGTGTCTCAGAGCGGCTTACAAACTCCTTTCCCTTCCCCTCCCCACAACAGACACCCTGTGAGGTAGGTGGGGCTGAGAGAGTCCTGACAGAAACTGCTCTTTTTCAAGAACAGCTCTTATCAGAACTACGGCTTGCCCAAGGTCATCCAGCCAGGTGCAAGTGGAGGAGTGGGGAATCAAACCTGCTTCTCCCAGATTTGACTCCACGCACTTAACCACTACACCAAACTGAGCACCATGGCTCCTGCCAACACCTTTTCTGGCACCTGCCAAGTGTTTTTAGGAAGTGGGCAAGCCCAGGTAGGGCTTTTAGCAAGGCCTCAGCTTGACAATTGGGAAACTGATTGGCTGTGCAGATTTTTTAAAAAATGTGGCTTTGTCAGCAGCTGCCAGAACAGCACAAGGATCTTCACTGTGTGACTAAAGGTAAACTGTGTTGGCCATTTTGTGGCTGGGTCTGTCTCTTGTGGCAGCCATTTTGTGGATGGGTCTCAGTCTTCCCAAATACTTACCGTGATTCAGCGGGGGACACAGACGTCCTCGCAGGATCATTCCTACGGGGACAACAGATGTGCCGCACCATGCTGTCGCCAGGAAGTGATGCCGGGCGACGCTCTGGCAATGGGGCTGGAAACCCGATGGTACCATCAAGTTTTCAGTCCCATTGCCAGAGCGTCGCCCAGTGTCACTTCCTGGCAACGGCATGGTGTGTTACAGGGAGGAATGGTCCGGCCAGGGAGCATGTTTCCCCCGCCGGACCATGGTAAGTATTTGGGAACCCTACTGGGTCTGCCTCTTGTGGCAGCCATTTTGCGGCTGGGTCTGCTTCTTGTGGCAGTCATTTTGTGGATGCACCCACCACACTGTGCCGGAACTCCAAAGCAGCACACAGGCTCAAAAATTGGGGGGGGGGCTGTATTCTATATATGACTCTGACAAGAGTAGAACATATTTTCTTGCAAGCATTACCATCGGGACATGTTCTCTGCATAGGGCAGAAAAAGAAGCGAGTAAGGAGCACTTCCAGTGCCATCCTAAGCAGAGTTACACCCCTCTGAGCCCACTGAAGTCAGCAAGCTTAGAATGGTGTAAATCTGTTTAGGACAGCAGTCAGTTGTGGAATTCAGGAGGCAAAAAAAAAATCAGGATGCAAATCACTTGCACAAAATCAAGCTGCTGCTCCTGGTTATGTTTAATTTTATCTATTTATTTTACTTCATTTAAACCCCATTTCCCCCTCCCCCAGCAAGGACCCAGAATGGCTTGTGCCACTCTCCTCCATTTTATTCCTATAACAACCCTAGGAGGTAGGTCAGGCTCACAGCGCGTGACTGGCCCAAGATCTGCTGCTGGCCACTAGTACAGGGTCCTATTTCTTCCGTCCTTGCAGAAATGCCACCCCACAGTTTGTACTTCAGAGATTCCAACATTTGACCTTAGTTCACTTGGTTGCTTGGCAGTGCCACCATGACACTGGTTCTGCTGTGCCTCTACCTCAAACCCCCTCCATCCCAGGTCCCTGAATATACCCTAGATTTGCCATTGACTACAATGGCCCATAAGGTATAATGGAGCCGAATAGATTCGGGAATCCCGAATATTTCCCAAATTTGGTATCCATACCCATCTTGATATTCGGGAATATTGGGCCATACTGAATATATTCGGAATCAGAGAATCCTGAATCTGAATAATACCAAATACTTTTTCTTTGCACACCCCTAGTAACAACTCCTTTTTCCAAAGTATGAGCTCTGGTGCTCTAGCCTAAGTTTATAAAACAACTGGCAAGAGGGTTGTTCATTGAGAATGGCCTCTTAATCACAAGGTGGTATCTAACCCCTCAAAAAATGAGCCATACTCTAAAAGGCGCCTCTCCATTATGCTGGAGGGGATGTCAAGAGATGGGCTCAAATAAACATTGTTGGTGGGACTGTACCATGGTACAAAACATTTGGAAAGTGGTTATTAAACATATATATGAAATAACTCACTTTGAAATACCAATGGAAATGGAATTCCTTTTACTTAACTGTTGGCCTGCTGTTAACCAACACTCATCTAATTCAGACCTGATAGAAATACTTTGTGCAGCAGCACGTGCGGTTATTGCTAGGTTTTGGGAAAATGATAAACGTCCCACAATCTCTGACTGGTTATTAAAAATTAAGGAACATTGTATAATGGATAAGTTATCAGACTCCTTGCACAAAGTGAAACGGGACCTTATTCTTCAAGGTTTGTTAAAATATGGTTCCGTTTTAGAATACCTTGTATCACAAAAGAAATTTGAATCTATATTAGAAGCTATAAATGCTGTATATTGATTAGTTCAATGTTGTTAGGTTCTTGTTGCTTATACCTGATTGTAACTTCCCTCTGTAATAGATTTCTAATGCAGTTGATTGTTGTATATGGTTCTGTATGTATTTGTACTTGTTTATATTTGTTAATAAAGTTTAAAAAGAGAGAGAGAGAACGGCCTCTGACCAAAAAGGAAGCTAAATCTGTATTTCCAAAGGGGGGGTGGGGGAACAAACCAAAATCAGAATTAAAAACTCAGGGAAAATGTCCGTTAAAACTCACTTAAAATAACTGACTGGCTTCTCACGCCAGTATCTGAAAATGACATCTGAAAATGCCACTTCCAATTCAACGGGTTTTTCAAATACAGATTATGAATGCGGGAAAAAAATAAAAATCCTGATAAGCTTGAATGCCAAGGGGCTTTTCCAGTGCAATAGAGAAACATTATTTGAGAAAACCAAAGCCATTCCAGAAACAATTTTGTTGAGTTTTCAGGACTCAGGGAAAACACCAAAAAAAACACTAAAAAAACCACCAAGATAATGAAAATGTTATTCAGGAGTGTGATTTATGTACTGTTATTTACATATACACTGGTGCAGACAGCTATGACTTTTAGACAGCAAAGCTATCATTAATGAAGATAATTTGAGGCTGTGCTGAAGGGGAACAAAAAATTAATACAAAGGTACCAGAGAAATTACTTCCCTTTATTTAGTCTAAAAATAATATCAGGAAGGGAAAAAACTTAAGAGTCCAAAAAGAAAATAGAATAACACTATTTTTAAAGCATTGTGTTAGAAAAAAGAAGTTCCGTAAGACCGATTCCACTTGTATCTCCCCAAGGTAACCGTCTTCAATATTTACCGTGCCCTTAGAAGCAATTCTGAATAGACTGGTTTCAAAAAGGGCACGGGTCCGTCAATGTACGTTCTATTGCCATCTTGAGCCCCAGGGGATATTATAATTCTCACACCAAAGAACCAAACTTCTACTTCAGGAGCTCCGTCATCGCAGAAACCCGACCAAATCTTAACAGTGGCAGAGTCAAAGGTGTGGGTTTTTTTTAACGATCTTAACCAGCTCTCCCTTCTCTAGCTTCCACCGTCTTCTGTATTGCTAATTCCTCCTCTTTCTTCTTGTAAACCTTCAAGAGATATTCGTCGGGCTTTATCCCTTTCTCCTGTAACTCTGACATGATCTTCCCCAATCTCTCAAGGGTCCTGGCGCTCTGCACCTTCCGCGTGGTGATGTACAAAGTGAATTCCTCCAAGCTCATCAGTCTGCACGTGTCGATCTCACAGATATTCCGGACGTTTTCGTCTTTATTCACCTGCGGGAAGAAAACGAGGCCCGACATCTTCTCCAGCTCTTCGATGCCGACTTGGAATTCCGGCAGCTGATGATCAAAGCCGATAGGATTGTTGGGCACGACGAAGGCCCCCAGCGCCAGCAGGTCGGGCGACGTCGCGCTTCGCCTGGCGAGGATCACTTTGTACAGATGCGAAGGAACAGCCACATCGTCTTTTCCAATTACCTGTCAGTGGAGCAGAGAGATTGTATCGCTGAAACTCATACGAAAGTAGGCCGTAATCCTCCCACTTCCACAGCTAATACTGTCTATGTAAAGAGCAAGCTCTGAAGGGTCTATGTGGCACCACACCGAAGACTCCTCCGCTCCGGCACCAAGCCAGTCGTAATTTACTCATGCAAGTTGTCAAAAACAGACTCATGCTGATGACCACCAATGGCCCATTCTCTCTCTCTCACACACACACACACAATCACACAGAACAAAGTTTGAGTCCAGTGGCACCTTTAAGACCTGTGCCGCCCTTGTATTAGGAAGACCACACCGAAGACTCCTCCGCTCCGGCACCAAGCCAGTCGTAATTTACTCATGCAAGTTGTCAAAAACAGACTCATGCTGATGACCATCAATGGCCCATTCTCTCTCTCTCTCACACACACACACACAATCACACAGAACAAAGTTTGAGTCCAGTGGCACCTTTAAGACCTGTGCCGCCCTTGTATTAGGAAGACCACACGGAGAACGCCTCCGCTCACTCATAAAACCAAGCCAGTTGTAATTTACTCATGCAAGTTGTCAAAAACAGACTCATGCTGATGACCACCAATGGCCCATTCTCTCTCTCTCTCTCTCACACACACACACACAATCACACAGAACAAAGTTTGAGTCCAGTCGCACCTTCAAGACCTGTGCCGCCCTTGTATTAGGAAGACCACACCGAAGACTCCTCCGCTCCGGCACCAAGCCAGTTGTAATTTACTCATGCAAGTTGTCAAAAACAGACTCATGCTGATGACCATCAATGGCCCATTCTCTCTCTCTCTCACACACACACACACAATCACACAGAACAAAGTTTGAGTCCAGTGGCACCTTTAAGACCTGTGCCACCCTTGTATTAGGAAGACCACGGGCAGAATGACTGTGTATACTCTTAAAGTAAGCCATCTCAAACAACTAATGAATCATCGCCAGCACTTTATGACTTCGTATTAGTTGTAACTTGAACTGTTTTTAGATGATTTTATGTGGGGTTTTGTTATTTATGTATTGACCGGAAGCTGCCCTGAGCCTGCTTTGCGGGGAAGGCAGGGTAAAAATCAAATGAATAAAATAAAAAGTTTTATTCAAGATATGAGCTTTTGTGTGCATGCACACTTTCTCTGGTGTCTGAAGAAGTGTACTTTGCACACGAAAGCTTATACCTTGAATCAAACTTTGTTGGTCTTAAAGGTGCCACTGGACTCTAAAACTGTTCTGCCGCTTCAGGCCCTACATGGCTACCCACGTGACACAATTGTGCGCGCGCTGCCCACGCACAGAAGTACAGTACAGAAATACAGAATGGCGTTTATCCTCGCTGACAATCTGTACAGAGAACGGCTACCCACGTGACACAATTGTGTGCGCGCGCCCACGCACAGACGTACAGTACAGAAATACAGAATGGCTTTTATCCTCGCTGACAATCTGTACAGAGACCAGAACTGGCTTTCTAGAGAGCTTGTAAGGGAATGTGTTTCTTCTGTGAAGGCGCGACTGAGCTGCCAACTGAATCCAGAGTTCAGTTGTCACGCGCCCTTCCTTCTCCCAGGGAACCGGTGCGAACAATACTTCTCAAACCTTTTTAAAACGGAACTTGCGTCTAAACCTGCTCAAGCTTTCGGGAGCCGCTTGCAAAGTCACTCTGTACCTCCTCCTTCACCCCACGACACACCGGTTAACACTGAACAAGTTAATATTTTGTTTCTCACGTTTATAAATATTATAGCATTATAAAGACTTTCCCCAACAAGTCTGCAGCTGGCTTATGGTGACCCCGCAGGGTTTTGAAGGCAAGGGGCATTGGGGGGTGCTTTGCCACTGCCTGGCTGTGAAATGACCCTGGTATTCCTTGGAGGAGGGCCTGCGGCGGCTCACGTGATTAAGACACTGAACTGCAGACCGGAAGGTCGGTAGTCCAGCAGTTCGAGACCTGGGGGACTCATTAGCATAACTCATTAGCATATGCCACACCCCCTGACATCACCGGAAGTGTGTCCTCCCCACAGCCGGCGGCGACCTCCAGCGGGCACCAGTAGGGAGCTCCAGGCCCCGCCTTCCCGCACCTCACCCAGGGGGATGGTGTCCCCCCGCGTCCCCCCCCAAATGACCCCTGGTTGTGAGGACCAAATGGAGGGCGAGAGAACCATGCACCCTGGCCTGCGCTCCTTAGAGGGGAAGTGGGATTTTAAAAATGCACTAAAGAGAATACATAAAGCAAATTTTTCTTGGTCCTTTATCCCACAAATTTTGCCTTAAGAGGGACCATGAACTTGCCTAGGAACAATGGTTTCTAATGCAGGACAGGTTGTGGAAGGGTTTTGTTGTCGTTCAGTCGCACAGTCAAGTCCGACTCTTCGCGACCCCATGGACCACATCACGCCAGGCCCTCCTGTCTTCTGTTGTGCTCTGAAGTTTGCTCAATGTCATGCTCATTGCATCAATAACACAGTCTAACCATCTCATCCTTTGCCGTCCCCGTCTTCTTTGACCTTCAATCTTTCCCAGCATCAGGGTCTTCTCCAGGGAGTGCTCCCTTCTCATTGGGTGGCCAAAGTATTTGAGCTTCAGTTTCATTATCTGGAATTACCAGCTCTTAAAGACAACAGCTGTTCTCAGGCTGGTTTTAAGGAAGCCGGGGCGACTCTACCAGTATGAAACTGATTTTTGTTTGTACCTTAGGTCTTGGTGAAAACATTCCATCAAAGGCCAGTTAAATCAGATGCCAGGCAAAGGAGTCTTTGATGGCCTTTGCTGAAAGATTGTCCCAGAACCACTGATTACACAAGTCCCCTCTTGAACCCTATACAACTGATTTGCCATTAAACTGTTCAAAAACAAACAGTTGTCAAATTTACTGTGATTGCGAGAACAGAAAATATTTACCGAAGAGAGATGGGTTTTTTTATGCATGACACACACAGGTTGCTTTCTTTACAACTGCAGAAAGGTAGTGCGGATTGCTTAAAAACAAACATTCTTAACACCAGTACCCCTCAAGGGTTTGTGACCGATACACACCCTCAGATTTAAGTCATATGAGGTATCCGAGAAACATGGGTGCTAGCTGTTAGCCCATGTCGGGGCAATGCTTTTAGCCACAGCTGCTGGGACAAGCATGTTGTAGACCAGGGGTGTCAAACATAAGGCCTGGGGGCCAGAACCGGCCTGTCCAGGGTTCATATGCGGCCCGCGAGCAACTGAGGCAAGAAAGGGAGTGCTGGCAGGGGAGTGGGTGGAGCCACTCCATTGTGGCTTCTGCGTGGCAGAACAACCTCGTCTGCAGCAGTCAAGCATCGTGGGACCATCTCCCCAGCTGTCTCTCCAGTCCACCTATGTGGGTTTTCCTCTGCACCCCCCTCCCAGCCCATGGGGCCTTGCAGTGAGGATACATCAACTCAGAGCTTACCAGCTGCTGTCCATTATACAGTTTCTATCTCTGGTACCTAACAGTACGTTTTATGGCACACAGGGCCCGGCCCAACAAAGTGACATTTATGTCAGATCTGGCCCTCGTAACAAATGAGCTTGACACCTCTGTTGTAGACACGTCTGGGGGTAGATTCAGACCTGCTAGGCTGCAGTCTTCCCCTGACCTGATTGGCCAGGCTAGCCTGATCTCGTCAGACCCTGGAAGCTAAGCAGGGTCGTTCCTGGTTAGCATTTGGATGGGAGACCACCGAGGAACTCCAGGGTTGCTATGCAGAGGCAGGCCAACGGCAAACCGCTTCTGAATGTCTCCTGCCTTGAAAACCCAATGGGTTCACCATACGTTGGCTGCAACTTAATGAGACTTTACACAACAGGCACAGAGATTGGACACCAGTGGCACCTTAGTAGACCAACAAGATTTTGGGAGTACAGACTTTCAGGCGTCGGCACTCCCTCTGTCAGGTAAGCCTATCACCTGAAAATCCAGTTCGTCTTCGAGGCGCTGCTGGACCCAAGTCCAGCTGGTCTACTGCAGACCAATAATGGCTACCCTCTGAAACTAGATTCAGACTTGATTCGTACAACTGTTGATGTAACTTATGCAATGAGGGTCATGTTTGGTTGTAGTGGTTAAGTGTGCAGACTCTAATCTGGGAGAACTGGGTTTGATTCCCCACTCCTCCACTTGCACCTGGCTGGATGACCCTGGGCAAGCTACAGTTCTCTCAGAGCTGTTCTCTCAAGAGCAGTCCTCGAAAGGGCTCTCTCAGCCCCACCTACCTCACAGGGTGTCTGTTGTGGGGAGGGGAAGGGAAAGGAGTTTGTAAGCCACTCTGAGACTCCGAGTGAAGGACGGGGTATAAATCCAGTCTCTTCTTCTTCTACGATGTACATTTGCGCACGTGGGTCTAGAGCAGCGTAAAGAAGAAAGGAGTACCCCCAGTCCTTCCCAAGGGAGGATCAGCAGAGCTCTAATTGGTTCAAACTACGTGTTAAGAATTTCACTCTGGCCAATCGCCTTCCTTGACCTCTTGACCCAGATCCACTTCTGTTATGGTGATCCAGCCTTCCAATGATAAATCCAACACAGGTCCCTGCAGGTACGAGGGCTGTCGTGCTCTCTTCGGTGTTACACAATTTTTGTGATCGCGCACTATGTGACATTGCAGCTGCACAACCGGAGGATTCCCAGGTCTACAACAACTGAGAAACTGTTATTTGCATAAGACCACAATGCCTTGATGCCCACACCAAAGCTTCCGGATTGGGGGCCAAGATGACTATGGATCAGATTTTACAATATCTTTATGCTCCACTCTACGGAAGAGCTTTCTTATTTATAACGGGGAAGGGTTCCATCATTGCTTAGGAGTGGAGAATCTAGCTACTGATGTTAAGGCTGACACGGCAGCAAAAACGTCGGGATGCCAGCCTCCAGGTGGGAACTGGGGAGTCCCCAGAGCTGCAGCTCATCTCCAGACGACAGAGATCAGTTTCCCTAGAGAAAATGGATGCTCTGGAGGGGG